CATTGGCGACGAGTTTAATTTAGAAAACACGCATTCAGCAAAATGGATCACTCACAATTCAAGGCATTGTTCGAGGCATTGCAAGTACAAAATCAACAGATTTTGAAGCAACACCAAGAAGAAAAGAATTTGATGCAACAGCATATGCAACAACAGCAGAATCTGATTGAGCGCATTCTTCAAGGTCAACCGGCACAGATTGCAGATCAAGCCGTTCTTGCTCAAGATTCAACAGCATTTAAAGTTAAATGTTTGGCCGATTCTATGGTCAATTTTGAATATGACCCAGATAACAATCAAACGTTTGAGGCTTATTATGAACGGTATGAGTCGGTTTTTACAAATCAAGCAGAGGGTCTGGATGAACCGACAAAAGTTTATCTTCTTTTCCAAAAATTCAATCAGGAACAGTATCAACGTTATGCGGATTCAATATTACCTCTTAAACCACAAGATTGTACATTTGCGAATACTGTGACAACACTTAAGAAACTTTTCGGTTATAAAGAAACAAAGTTCGCAATGCGTCATAGGTGTTTTAACCTCGCAAAGTTAGACCATGAGGATTTTAGCATGTATGCCGCTCGTATAAATAAGCACGCAGAGAAGTTTGACATTTCTCATTGTACCGCGGATGACTTTAAAGTTTTGTTATTTGTGAGTGGGTTAAAAGACGTCAAGGACTCGCTTATCCTGGAAAAGCTTCTAACGAAAGTTGACAATCAGTATATAGAGTTGGAGAGGGTAACAGATGCGGTTGCACGTGCAGAGGTTCACAAGCTAAATTTGCAGGATCTGATCAACGAAGCCGAGCGTATAATTTGTTTGAAGCTTGACAAGGGTAAAGTTGGCGAGGCATTCGCTGCTCAAGAAGTTCATTCTGTTCAACAAAATAAAAACTCAAAGTCATTAGTCAACAAAGACAAGTCAACGGTTCGGAACCAAAGGAACGACACTCCTCGCTTGGCCTGTTTTCGTTGCGGCGAAATGCATTGGAGTGATAATTGTCCATGCAAGGACAAGCAGTGTGGCGAATGTAACGAAAAAGGGCATAAGACAGGTTTCTGTGCTTTTATGAAAAATTTCAAGGGATATAAATCATCCAGCAAGAAAAACCACAGTTCGAATCAAGTTGAAGCTAACGTTCACGCAATCTCTAACCGAAAGTATATCAGTCCAGTTGTAAACGGAACTGCAATCAAATTGCAGGTTGATACTGCTTCCGATATAACAATCATATCAAAATCAAATTGGATTTTAATCGGACAACCAATGCTGTCATCTGAAATACGCACCAATGCTACAAGCGCATCAGGTGCTGCTATTCCAATTTTGGGTGCCTTCAATTGTGGCATTAAACTAAATGGGAAGGAAAAACGCGGAATTTGCTACGTTACATCACTTGAATTGAATCTTTTTGGCATACCTTGGATTAATTCTTTCGATCTTTGGAGTGTTCCCTTTGATTCTGTTTGCAAACATATAAAATCAACTGGTGATGACTTGGCTATTGAAGTTTGCGAGAAATTTCCGCAGCTTTTTTCTGAGGGACTTGGCTGTTTCAACAAAGGAAAAGTTTCTCTGAAGCTCAAGCCTGGAGCCCTTCCAATATTTCGGAATGCTCGACCAGTTCCGCAAGCAGCTCGCGAACCCATTTCAATTGAACTGGAACGCCTTCAACATCTTGGCATTATCAGTCCAATCAAGTATTCCCAATGGGCAGCACCTATCGTGGTTGTTAAAAAGAAGAATGGCAAATTGCGAATCTGTGCTGATTATTCAACTGGTCTTAACAATGCACTTGAGCCAAACATGTACCCTTTGCCGACACCCGATCAAATTTTCGCTAAGTTTGCAGGAAAGACAATATTCAGTACCATAGATTTGTCCGACGCTTTTTTTCAAGTCGAGGTTGATGATGACTCCAAGGAAATTATGGCAATCAACACTCACGTTGGAATGTTTAAAGTAAATCGCCTTCAACAAGGAGTCAAAACAGCGCCTGGGGAATTCCAAGCCATAGTTGATAAAATGCTCAGTGGAACCTCAACATTTGGTTTTATCGATGACATGATCACAGCGGGAGAGAACCTTGAAGATCACAAACAGCAGCTCTTCAAGACGCTTGAACAGCTTCAAATTTATGGTTTTAAATTAAATATTAGCAAGTGTTGTTTTGGCAAGTCGTCAGTTAACTTTTGCGGCCATATCATCGATGAGAAAGGCATCAGGCCAAATCCTGAAAAAATTTGGGAAGTTCAATCAGTTCCTCAACCTAAAGATGTTAGCCAATTGCGATCATTCCTAGGTTCAGTGAACTACTACGGCAAGTTTATCAAGTCAATGAAGCAGTTGAGAGGTCCATTGGATGACTTATTGAAGAAAGAAGCAAAATTTGAATGGCAAAGCATTCATCAAGAAGCATTCGATCAACTGAAGAAGATTTTGTCATCAGACTTAGTTCTTACGCATTTCGACCCAAGGAAAGACATTGTACTGGCTACTGATGCATCAAAAGATGGCATGGGGGCGGCATTAATGCATCGTTTCAAGGATGGATCTCTTCACCCAATAATGCATTTTGCTGCAACATTCAATGAAGCTGAGAAAAATTACTCTCAAATCGAAAAGGAAGCTCGTGCATTCATATTTGGTTTGAAACGATCTCACTTTTATATTGCAGGTCGACGTTTCTTCGCTCAAGTCGACCACAAGCCCTTGCTCGCTATCTTTGGATCAAAAAGTGGTATCCCAGTTTATACGGCTAACCGTCTACAACGCTGGGCGCTCATCGTTTTAGCTTACGACATTAATTTTGAGTTCATCGGTACAAACAGTTTCGGATATGTTGATGTTGTATCCCGACTGATGTCTGAATACACCAAACCCGACGAAGATACTGTCATTGCATCTATTTCGTGGAGTAATGAAAATATAGAAGATATATCTTGTTTTGCCATTCAATCAGCAAAACAGCTACCAATCACATTCAAAGATATTCAGGAAGCCACCAATGATTGCCCGACACTCAAAAAGGTCATTGAATTTGTATCGCAAGATAAATGGCCCAAGTTTTGCAAGCAAGTAAAAGAAATTGAGGTAGCCGCTTTCTTCCCATATCGCTACGACTTGAAGGAAGCCCAAGGTTGTTTGTTCAGAGGCGAACAAATTATTATTCCGTTCAAACTGCGTAAGAAAATAATTGGAAGTCTTCATGAAGGTCATCCAGGTGTGTGTCGTATGAAGCTGTTGGCTGCCGACAAAGTGTTTTGGCCAAGAATGTCTAAAGATATTGAACAGATCGTGAAATCGTGTGATAGCTGTGCTAAGGCAGCGAAAACACCAATCAAGTGCACTCTGCACCCTTGGCCAATGCCAATAGCACCATGGGTTCGAGTTCATCTCGATTACGCTGGTCCAATAGACAATTATTACTTTCTGATTATCGTCGATGCTTTTAGCAAGTGGCCGGAGATTATCAAAACTAAAGTAACCACCAGTGAAAAAAACTGTTGATATGTTTGATGATGTAATTGCGCACCAAGGTTTATGTGAAATTTGTGTCACCGATAACGGACCACAGTTTGTTTCATGTACATTTGAAGATTACTGTAAGTTTAAAGGCATCAAACATTTGACGACCTCATTTTACAGTCCACAGTCAAACGGTCAGGCAGAACGATTTGTAGAATTATTTAAGAAAGGAATTGGAAAGGCAGCAGGGAATATTGACCAGAAGTTACGCGAATTCTTGTTTTCATATCGATATACACCTTCTTACCATCTTGGAATGAAATCGCCGTTTGAATTGATGACAGGCCGTCCGATGCGAACAAAATTAGATCTTCTGAAGCCGAAAAACCTTTCAAATTCGATTTCAAGCACGAAAATGGAAGATCAATTTAATTACCACCATGGTGCGAAATGGAGAGAGTTCAATGTTGATGATGAGGTTTACTATCAGCTTCATTCAACTAGCAAAGTGTGGGAATGGGTTCCAGGTATAATTAAAAGTCGAAATGGGGCTGTCAATTATACTGTGGATGTTACAACACCTTCGGGTAATCGCATTGTCAAAGCTCACGCTAACCAACTTAAGCGCCGTTACTCTAAAAATGAAATGCTAGAGTTGTTCGAGTTGCCAGATTTCGAAGAAAATCTATCACTAAAAGCTGCAGCTAGACAGAGGGATGAAGTTGAACCTAATATTATTCCAGAACCAGGAAATCAAGGAATTATTGAATCCGCTGGAGAAACAAATTTTGAGGAAAATCAGGAAGGGATGGACGACTTTCTAAAAGAAGACATTCAGGGCTCTAAAACAGTTCAGGATCAACACCGTTATCCAGTACGAGGAAATAGAGGACAGACTAAAAAATTTGACGACTACGTCAGATTTTAAAGGGGGGAGGAATGTTACAAATGGATAAACAGAGTGTTCGAGACTTGATTATGGACTTTGCGTTTTTTTCCATTCCTTAAAAAGCTTTGCACTTTTTGTCAAATTATTTTACTGATTGAAAAATTATGAGTTTTATTTCTGTTTGCAATTGAATAACATATCTTTGTAAATCTTCATTATTCATTAAATAATTACGATTTACTACAATTTCCATCGTCCAAGTTTACAAATGTGTGTAAGTACGCACTAATCCAACATATGTATGTAAATGCATTTAGTTATTCGTACGTGCATATGTATGTACCTACTATGGACAATTTTGTCCGTGCACCTACACACAAAAGGATTTAATCAGTTGCCTTTTTCCGCTTGTCATTGCGACGAATGTGTACAAAAGGTTAGACACACAATGCAAAACAATGGCAGGACATCAGGCAACCATTGGTCAATAATCCCTAAAAGAGCAAAAATGCATATTGCACACACATACATATGTACATATGCACCTATAGTTTTGTGGATATTTTTGCCATCAAAATTGCGACTGTTGGCAAAAATATGGATTAATTTTAGCTAACTAAATGGCTATAACGTATGTTCATCTATACCGGCTTATAGGTATCGAGAAAAGTGTGCACATTCGTGCAGGTGTGCGCATAGCAAAGGTGGGAACAGTATTAACGTTTGCTTTATAAAAGTTGTAGCATAAAACGCGCTTGTGTGCACGTTTTCATGTATTTACTACAGCGTAAATGTTTCTCTTGCATTTGCAGAAGAACCTATAACATTCCTTGCACATATGTAGGTATGTACATAATTATACATGTATGGATTTTATTACGGGCCTCGCATCGACCGCTATTGATTTCCATTAAGTATTTTTCAAAAATTTGCTCCATCATCCTTATAATTGCTTCACAATCCTTCTGTCCCCACTGATTGGAGCGCATGCCTGGCACGCGCAGTAAATAAATCTCTTGGATATTGAAATCAACACACGATAAACATAAATAAATAATGGCAAGCCCCTATAGAAAATACTTAGCAGCCGCCACCAAAGAAAAAAGGCAAACAATAAAGCGGCAAAATTGATGCGCGAAAAACGCCAACTCATTCGAAGTGCATACTTGCACAGCAAAAGGGTTATATGTATATCCATTTCCACGTGCATATGTATTTCATACAAAAGTGTGCCACAGTTTACTTTGTTAAAGGATATTTTTTATTTGGTTTCTTTATTTATATACACTCAATAATTTCAACGAAATAGCTTCAATCTCTTTACGCTACTTCTTGATAACATGCGGCAAATCATAAACGCCGCGCACACATTTTAATTTTACACCAGGTACATCCTGACAACGTCCTACACGACATAGCACAATGTTATGCTCTTGTAAGTTATGCCCTTCTCCAGGTATATAAGCGACCATTTCCTTGCCTGTTGATAAGCGCACTAGCACACATTTACGATTCGCCGAATTGGGCTTCTTCGGCTTCTTGATGAGTGTCTTCAGCACAACGCCCTTGGCGAAAGGTTTTCCATCTAGCGGTTGCCGCGGTGGTCGCGTTTTATAGTGTGGGCCAGTGCGATGCATTTGGTTCAGCGAGGCCATGCGGCAGACCGGTTCGGAAAGGCTCCCACTTTGGATAGACTGCAGCAGGTTGATGTTGAGCACTAGATAAAATAATGTCAATGCATAGTTAATAAAATACTTAATACATAGTTGATTAAGTAGTATAGTCAATTGTGTAGGAAGGCGATCCAGCCGAATTCTGGCCGAATGTTCCATATCATACAAACCTTTTTGTGACAACTGTTTCGTAACGTTGAATGTTTGTCGCAGGAAGTTCATGACACTACCGTTAGTTACTAATGCCAAATTGAAATTTTTACTATAAATTGTTGATTTATTTCAATATAATCCACTTTTCATTCAAATAACTTGTTTTTCTGGAATTTATTAAAAAATCGCCAACAGCTGCTAACCAAATCAGCAAAGGCTAGCTGCTTCTTCTTATCATAGTAAGGTTGCAATAATACTCCCTTATTAAAGGCCTGCGCAAACAGGCTCGGTACGATACAAAGAATTATTATCCCGTACGTTACGCGGTAACGATATAAAAGTATGTTTCATTTTAATTTAAATTTATTAGTGGAATTCTTTTATTTTTAATTTAATTTTAGGTTTCATTCAAAAATTGTTTGGTTTAATTATTACTTATTTTAAGGCCGCGTCTGTTGTTGTTGTTGTAGCGGCACTACTAAGCCCCGCCTGTTTCGGGTCAACTTTTAATCATTATCGTCAAGCTCAACTAACGGTAGGCCCAGGAAACGAGCTGTTTCGATGGGGTCGGACCAAAGGGAGTGAGGTGTTAGTTGAGTCGGATTGAGCTGGCATGTGAAGAGGTGGTTGGTGTCGTGGGGGGGAGTCTCTATATGCCGGGCACTCATTTGGGATGTTTGGGTCGAGTCTGGACAGGTAGCTGTTTAGGCGGCTACAATATCCAGACCGTAACTGAGCCAGGGTAACGCGGGCCGCGTCTGTTTTAGTTCTCCGAAATACCGCCATGGTATTTGATACCACATATCGTACGGGATTATACCGCCGTTCCGTACCGCGTCTGTTTGCGCATACCTTTACGCTCCTTCCTGTTACCATTTTTTTGCGATTTTTCGATAACACTGATGTTTTGGGACTAAATGGCACTACCGGTACCGGTTAGGGACCAAAATCCACTACTGGAATCGGCTAGGGACCAAATATTTGCTCTCCACAGTTTGAGTGCCATTAAATGTTTTCACATTAGGTGCTTTCCCGTACACAAGGTGGAATCCTGCGGGTGCCCAAAACAGCCCAGAAATCATTACCGTAGTCAAAAAATGGGTAATATAATAAGATTATGCTTATTTTCTACTCGGTTGTTTACATGTATTTTCAATCTTTCCATACTTTTATTTTAATACAATAAAATTTGTTAAACCAAAATTCAATTTCGAAGTGTTTGCATATTAGTGTCGATAACCGAACCATTTGAATCAGTTATTTGTTAAATTCTGGGCACGAAATGCGTGCGATCCCATGCTTCTGAACTTGGTTCCATTTTCGAGAACAAATTTTTCGTTTATTCTCTAAATACCGGATCCAGTCCGGGTGATATGGGTGATATGTTTAAAACTTGCAGTTTGAATGCCATTGGGGAAACAACCACCCTGTGGTATATGCAAGTGTCAGAAACAGCTGTTGTTTTGGTTTTGATTGGATAGTCGCGCGGTTTTTTATTCAAACAATCGGATTATAAACAAATTCTTCATTAATTATCGTATGAGTGCATTAAAATATTAAATACACATTGTCTTTATAAAGAAGCATGAAATTTCTGGAATATGGCGAAGAATTTCTGTTCGACGACCTGCCGAAGGTGTACAACGTAAGTGCTGTCCGTCCCTATTTAGCTTTAAATTATTTTATAATTTCTTTTCAAGCCCACACAAAAAGTATTCATTACACGCCTTTACGACTTAAAACAACTGCAGCTGCCGAAGAAAATACCAAAAATATATACAACCAAAGCGCTTGCTTGGCGTCTGAAGGTGCATTTCAACAGCAATAACGAGCAGCACCTGACGGACTCAAATTTTGTCTTCCTAGACCCCACTAAAAGTCCACACAACCTTCATCTCAGCGGTGAAAAGCGTTGTAAGGTGTATGTATTCGAGGAGACCTCAACGACACGCAATATTATGTTACTCATACAAAAAGGTCAGTTGTTAATATCCCACGTTTCCATTTAGTGTTTCGCTTTTATTTTATAGATGGGAAAATCACACATTTGTATGCTGGCGCTTGTGTCTTCATGCGTGAAATTTTACTTAATGATACATTTGTTTCATGCATCAGTATGGGTGTTGAGAAGCTATACATGGATTTAAGGCGTGCAACAAGTCCGTGTAACCCCAGCGAGTTGAATGATATTGTGGAAGAACTAGATCGTAAATTACAGTAAGTTTTGCGGAAGTTATGTACATCAGGAGATTTACTCTGAATTCTAATATTTATAGCAAAAGCAAATTACTTCATAAAATACAGTTGCTGGTTAAAATATTCGGCGACGAAGAATTAGTGGCTGAGCTGGGAAATCAACTCCGCGGTTTAGTGCATTTAAATGATACATTTCTAAATTACCATGGACATTTTCTGTGCTTGGAACATTTCCAGATGGACGCCGAGAAAGCACGTATATTCGTAGAACACGAGCCAAATAAGGAAGAATGTTTGAAATAGTGAGTTTAATGGCCCTATTATTTATAGCGACTGGAGCCTAGTTGCTGGTCTAGTAGCCATGGGTCCAGTATCGTACTTTGTATTATGTATAGCGCTTAACCTCTGTATACATAAAAGCGCAGACAACATCCGTGTTTACTCATTTGACATGTAGTTGTCCACAAAATAATAGGAGTGCGATATTTCGACCCGTTTAATTTTCTTAAGTCTAGTAGTTTATACAACAAACACCTTATAAATCCATATAAATCTACATTTC